GGACATTTAATTTCCAATCCGAACCCACACTCTAGCCGACCTCATCTGGAAAATGAAATTCGCCCATTTTCTTCAAACGAATCAACACATGTCGATCTTAAGCAAATGAAAGCATATGAAGCTCATGAAAACAATAAAAACATAGTAAATCTATAATTGTATGAAAAGAGGACGAGAGCAAATGAATTGCACGAAGTCGATTTCGAAGATGTTGTCAAACTCAGCCTAGTTTTTTGCTGAAAATCTGAGTTTCACGTTGAAGCTCTTTCGAACTGTGAGCTCTTCTCTAATATCTATTGCATAAACTGATGCATTCTGTAGATTCAACAACATTTTATCTAATTCTATGGATTTGTAAGAAATTTGGAGCCAAAAAACTTTGGAGTTGAATTAGACTGCAATTTTCTATCGTGTCTATGAACCTTGATAAGATGTTGTTGGAGTCTCCAAAATGCATCAGCTTATACAAATATCAAAGAACAAAATCTACAATACAAAAAGATTCCCGTGGTAAATCTTAGTTTTCGGCAAAAAACTTCGTTGCCTCAGGCGATGACTCCGACACTGCTTTCTTCCTGTTGACTGGGACAGATTTGGTTATAGATGAATTAAAGATTCATGCCTATACTCAACGCTATTCTCTACTTCAAATATCCTTTTGAATATTCTTTTTCGAAATCATTTCCGAACAATGGAAAAAGTGCAAAACTATTTTTTAAAATACTTAGTTTTTTTTAGGCAAAAATAGCGTCCATATCCACTGTTTTATAACCTAATGTCCCTTGTTCAGTATATTTCTGCTTCAGCCTTTTACATTCATAACATTAAAAATATAGAACGCCGGAACATATATGGTGAAAAAAAATCTGATAAGAACCCGCAATACTTGTAAATAAAATCTTAGCTTAATCTGATCTAACAGTGTGAAAATCGAGTCTGCCCCCAGGTAGGATTGAGTTACAGGACTGGAACATGGACATGATTGAAGACAATGGAAGGCAACAGATTGTAAGAACAAAATGTTTGATAAAACAGAAGAACATATTCACCGACGCTCAAAAGTTGTGTGAATGAATAAATGAATAACTAAGTTACATCTGTTGTTGCGAAATTTGAAATCAATTTACTACTACACCCGTGACAGTTCTTGTTGAGCCAGCTGAAGTCGTGTTAGTCAACCAGTTATATTGAAAGATCTAATAACTATGTTTGGTGTTCGTGAACGAACTGGTCACTAGGTACAGTTCGTGAATAAATATCACACATGGTAGCCAACTCTCGAAAAAGAATTGGTTCATACAACAGTGATTTGTCAAACACCTAACGATCACAGAACAGAAATCCCTGATTTAATCTCTACGTCAAATGTCAGGGCATTACAGCACTTTTTGCTTCTATATTCCACTCAATACAGAGATGTTAGAATGCATTAAAAATATTCTCAAGGACAAATAGAAACATCAAAAAGCGTTAAACATAAATTTATTGAACAAAGAAAAAGCTTCCGATTCACCATTAGAAGCGCACCGAACCCGAACTTACCCAGCGCGGAGCACTGTCGATACCCAAAACAGATCTCATCCAGTCATTTCGTTTGGTCGATAGGAGATATCGATAGAGCGCAGCAGTAACCGAACACGCGAAATCTTCAACTGGACTCCTTTCTTTTCTGCTTCGATCACTTCAGGATGTGATGCTTGCTCACTATTGAACAAAAATTGGCGGAATAAGTGCAATACTTCGCGAAGATCTAGAGGAGTGAGCCGTGGAATTACCAATCCCTGGATTCGATCACTTCTGGGATTCATGCTTGCCCACCATTGACCAAACCAGATAACTCAATGAGGGTAACGTTTCAGGTAACGAGAAAGGATCAAACTGTGAAAAGGCCGAGTTCAGATGTGGCGTGTGGGTGTCGGTGTGGGTTGTAGGTGTGGCTGTGGCTGCGGCTGTGAGTATGGGTGTGGATGTCGATCATCTTTTCAACCACACCCACACCCACACCCTGTAGGTGTTATTGTGCGTGTAGATATGGGTATGAATGTGTGCTCATGTCGCTCAAACCACCAGTTAACCGCGATTCGCCTGCGGAATTTTTTTTGCGTATCACGGTGCATGAATATGTTTTATAGATTTACAAAATCTTTAAAATTATATTGAAGTCGTCGCCCCTTGCGCAGGCAGACGCCCTGAATCCGCCGGTGCCAGCCACATCTGCTGTATTTCCGTGGTTTTCCAGTTAAAGTTTTTATTAAAGATGGCGCTATAAAAGTAGTTATTCGGAAGATAACTGAACCAATACAGAAATCATTAGCGCCATCTGATGAAACTTTTCTGTTGTATAATTATCTAGACTTTTTTGAGTCGCAATCGTTTTTTGAAGACTACAACTATTAATTTAGAAGACAAATTATTAAAAAATCGAGAAAGGAACAGGAACTACTTCGAACTTGTGGTTTTCCTATGGGTTGCCGGTAACAGACAGTTTTGATGGAAAATCTGCAGCATGGATGGTGTTGTTATGCGTGGGTGTGGCTATCAGATTACTGTTATCTAGTGCCATCATCTAAAGCCACACGCACCCACACCTGCACGAGAATACTTCCTATTCCCAAAAGTTAAACATTCCTGCATCGCCTTCTGACCCGGAATCCCTTACCATCAATTCCGGAAAACCTAAAACGACCCTTCCCCTCAAATACATGCCACAACCAGGAATTCCTAATTCGTAGTACCTTTCAAATCCAACTCTCAACATCCAATTCCTGGTCATTCCGGGTAATTCCAGAATTCGAAGGATATACTCCATAACGAAATGATCATCTTAAAAGATCTATTCAATATCAAAACGGAATTCCGGAATTTGTGCATATCCGGAATCACTAGGAAATGCAGGAATTCCTGCTCATTCCTGCCTATTCCGGAATTAC